TATTTTTCAAATGTTCTGCAATGTTGTTAAAGTGCTTTAATAATAAAATTCTTAATTTAGAGTGTATAAATTATATGCTTCACTTATTTCCAGAATGGCTCTAGTGTTGGCTATAAATATGAAACTTTCTTCCCCACACCAGTACTTTCAAGAACAGCATATTATCATGTAGTATGCATCATTTCCCTCTGAACTGGGCTGTATTTTCAATTTCCTCTGTGAAATTAAGTTTCCACAAGAGACCTTATGGTCCCTGTACAAAAGCAGTAATTAACAAAAAGGCATTATTTTGAAATGTCAGGTGCTTCTATACTAAGATATTTGTATGCATTTATAACTCACAAACAATCAGCTTGATTAAAGCACCAGGATCTTAAAAACCCAGAACACACTTAAACATAGAGGTTCAAGCACAGAACTATTTGTAAAGGAGGTCATGGTTTTGTTTTGATTTACCACAGAAAACCATGCTATGTGTGCCAAAAGAGATGCACTTAAATCCAAGTCTTTCATCCCTTGGAAGATGAATGAAGATCACTTTGTTTCTATCCTTTAATTCCTAGATCTACTAAAACCTAACTTGGAGAGAAATCTGTTTCTTGGGTTAAGCAGAGAATGGTGTAAATAGCTTGAGTTCAAACCCTGATGCCATATCCAATTTCATACAAGATTCCACATTCCTGAGCCTTTCTCCTCAACTCTGCAACTCTTCCTCTGTTCCTCATCTTGATTCATAGTTCCATCTTTAAGGAACTAAGAGAAACACCTCAGAGCTATTTCAGACTCCCCACTCCTTCATCCAGAGACTCTCACCTTCTGTCAACTAAATCTTTAAAATGTTTCTTTAGTTGATTCCTTCTTTATTTCTACATCTGGACTGTTGTATTAGCTTTTGATAGTCTTGCACCAAAGTGATCTTTCCCAAATCGTACTTAGAACTTTTTTACTTTCAAGGGTGCCTGAGTGGCTCAGTCGGTTGAGTGTCTGACTCTTCATTTGGGCTCAAGTCATGATCCCCGGGTCCTGGGATTGAGCCCCACATTGGGCTTTGTGCTGAGTGTGGAGTCTGCTTAAGATTCTCTCTCTCCCTCTCCCTCTCCCCCCCACTCCCTACCACCCTCTCCCTCGGCCCCTCTCCCCCACTCACACTGTCTCTCTCTTTCTCGAAAACAAAAAGTGAAAAATATTTACTTTCATATAAAAAAAAACTTTGGTAGCTTTTTACTGCCTACAGAAGATCTGGATTTTTTTTCAATGTGAAAAATTAAAAACTAGTAACTAGCCACCCACCTTTAATTCTCTTAGTTTTATTTTTCAACTTTGCCTTATGCACTTCATTTCTGATTCAAATAGAGCAAACTATTTTAATTTCCTCAGTCCAGAAAGCTTTTGCTTGAATATCTTTTCTGTAGCATATTATACACATTTGGCTGTTACCTTCTTACATCTGTCTTCCTCACTAGAGTGTCAGTCACTCAGGACAGAGACCATGTCTTGTTCATCACTGTATACCAAGCAGATAATAGAAGGTAAGGACTCATGGTACACTAGTCGAGTGAATGAATGATTTAGTGGGTTCTCTACATAGGGTAGAGTGTAGATAAAGCTGACATGATGCTCCAAAGAGATGGCTCTTTGGTTTTCATAGATGGGAAACTTTAGGAGGGGAAAAGTTGGGAGGGGAGCTGTCTTCAGATCTGGCCCAGATTTGAACTACAAGCAAGTATTGAGCTCTGATAAGTATTCTAAAGTTAGTGAGGAGGAATTCAAACTGGGAACACGGTAGGGGCTGCACTTGAGGTCAAGAACCAGAAACCAAATATATGAATTGAAACAGGAATAAAATGGAATATAATTAGAGGAACACAGATTCTGTGTTATCTTTCCTATAGCTTCCCATAGAAAGCTCTCTTGTAGCAGATGGGCCTAAGTTATATTTTCTGCTAAGATCCCAAGATAGAAAGAATCTGTGTAGGTAGAGGAGAACCCAATATTTTGACAGGCAGTTGAGAGTGAGCAGAGAGCAGAGCTGACTTCCACTCCTGAGTATTAACCATCTTAACCAATGCATGCATGCACAAACAGTTCGGAGTGGACCAAAGACATTCCAGTTAAAAGAAACAGAATCAAAGAAGAAGGCTCAGAGATGAAGGATTTCTAATACTCCTGTGTGGTGGAAAAATAGGATCTGAGCAAGCAGTAGAGAAACTATCAGGAACTCTAGGAGGCTTTGTTTGTTGTTTCTGTTTGTTTGTTCAGTTTGTTGTTCTTCATATATCTCAATGGTAGCCAAACAGAAAAAAGATTATCTTGGAAAGATCTGCGGGTATAGCTTTGTCTTATGGAATGAGCCCCATTGAAATCCATGGGAGACACACAAAATTTTTGAGAAAATTATTTCAGCAGAAACACTTCCATTTTAGGTGGAAAGAGAGAGTACAAGATGAAAGGAGGCTGTTAGACTCCCAACATTCTCCTGTCAGCAAGTAGACTGATAAAGCTACTTGGCTGTAAACATTGGCTTTCCTTTATGACAAAGGAAAGATGATTCGAAGGGCAGAACCAAGATCCTAGATGACTGGACCATGGAGAATTATTGAAACTTAACAAAGGAACTCTTGACTTTTGTTTGGCTAGATTGATTTTTAAACTGCTACGGGCCAGTAACTCTTTTTTTACCTTGCATTTCCCCCCTTTATGAATAGGAATGTCTAGACCTGTTTTTCTACACCTATCTGACTGTTGCATGTTGGGTATGTTGGGACAAATAGCTTTAGTTTCACAAATCTAGATATGGAGAAGAATTGTTTCTCAGGAGTTGTACTTAATAGGTTGTACCCAGGAACCTAGTCTGTACCTGGATCTGATTTAGATGATGAGAGTTTGGACTTTGAGTTCATGTTTTAATGCATTGAGACTCTTGGGAATCTTAGTAAGAGGAAAATGTATTTTGCATGTGGAAGAGATATGAATTATTGATAGCCAGAGGCTAGACTGTGGCAAATAGACCCTAAGGTGGTCCTCATGACCCCCATTTCTTGGTGTTACTATCTTTGCAGGACCTACGACTTGATTCTAACCAGTAGAATATGGTAAAGAAAATGGAATGTCACTATAATGATGATGTTACATTTTACTTGATTCTGTCTTGCCAGTAGACTTTCTCTCTCTCTCTTCACTTGCTGTTTTTAAGCAAGAAAGCTTCTGTGAATCCTGTAGCTGCAAGGAAGTGAATGCTTCCAACAGCCACATGAGCAGGGAAGTAGATCTTTCCCTAGTTGAACCCCCAGCCTTGGCCAGGATCTTTGTATTGCAGTAATTAGTTACTCAGTGATAGATGCCTAATACATTAGCCTAGGAGGCAAAAAATCCTGATAATCTTCACTTTCTTCCCCAGAAAATACAAACAGTTAATGTATTAAGTTTTGAGAGGGAAACAGGTGTATTTTATCTTACTAAGCTTTGTCAAAGCTTCCTCAAACATTTTATTAGTTTTCTATTCAAAGAAGTAAAGAATTATTAAAGCCAGTTTTCCACTCAGATTAATCATCTACTTTCTTCTCTATCCCTTCTAAATCTGCCTATCTTCACTTCCAGTGCAAGCTATGTCCAGAGCTACCTCTTCTGCTCTAGTTTCAGGTAGTAGGCCCTTTACTGCCACCAATTGCTTTTAGATTACTCCAGTGGCCCATTTTCATTTTAACAGCTTTTTCTAACTTCAAAAATGTGTGAGATTTTCAGCATGTCCTGTGGTGACTTTCAGTGAATTGTAACCACTTATGAACATGTTATGTAAATGAATATTAATCAGAATATTGCATGCATTTATTATCCACTTTGTCCTTGACAATAAAATGTACAGAGAGACTATGGAAAAATATTCTTGACATTCTCTATATTGATTTAGGGCAAGCAAGAGAAGCAAAGCTATTTCTTTGGACATTCTGAATCCAATCACTGACAAATTTTAAAAGTAAAATAAATGTCTAATAATTCCTATTCTTTTCCTTAGCATCTCTGCTTGCTATTTTTTAGATATTGTTATTACTTCTTCCTATTTTTATGTATGTCTGTGCCACTGTCTATCTCTTTGACTAGTTTTTAAGTCAGTGGAAATGGTGCACTTTGGAATACAAGAATGAAATTAAGGGAGAGTTGAGTAAGTTAAAAATTATTATAATCAATAACATTATATTATACATTGACTTCATAAACTGAGCCTTTAAAAACTTTACTTGAAATAGATTGACAAAGTGTCACATTAACATTATTAACAATTTATCACCAGGCAATATATGCATTTTTCTAAAAAGACCAGCAGAGCTAATGAATGTAAAGAATGTAAACACATGGAGAAGGTCACTGTTAAGTCTGTAGCCTGAGAAGACTGAAAGATACCTGTTCCACTTTTCTCATTTTGCAGATTAGGAAGCTCAGATCCAGGGAACTGATTTATTAATCTGAGCTCTAGGGCTATCAGGTTGTACACAACACCAACATGGAGAGGCATTGTTCACATGGTCTAAGTTTAGACCAAGTGATTGGTGCCCCTCAGTTTCCAGGGCACAACCTGCATGACTGCAAATGAGTATAGCCCTCTTAGTTGGTATAACTCATTGGACAAAAATGATGATCTGTGAGATCCTGGAGGGGGTTCCTTCAGCTATGCTCCACTAGCCTGCCTGGCATCTTTTTCTGTTCTGATTCCATTTAAAAAAAAAATTTTTTTTTAATGTTTTATTTATTTCTAGGAGAGAGAGAGAGAGACAGCGTGAGCAGGGGAGGGTCAGAGAGAGAGGGAATCACAGACTCCGAAACAGGCTCCAGGCTCTGAGCTAGCAGTCAGCACAGAGCCCGACGCGGGGCTCGAACCCACAAACTGGGAGATCATGACCTAAGCGAAAGTCGGACGCTTAACTGACTAAGCCACCCAGGCGCCCCTGATTCCATTTTTTAAAAAGCTTAACAATTGACCACTTTTCTCATGATTATATTTTCCAGGATGTGTGCTGTGTGTTAAGGCTCTCATGTGGAATTCATGCAAAGAAAGCAAAAAGAGCCTTTTATGATTTGAACGATGATGGCCTTGGGTTAAATCCTTCTCATATTTGTATCTTAATATTCAGAGGAGTCATCACTAAGTCTACTATAGCTGAAAATAAGGAGTTTGATGAGAATGAAGATCATGAAAAGGTAAATGAATTTTCAAAAAGCTTTTGACATTATGAATTTTAAATTGATACATGTTCCTTCTATTATCTAAAGATTTTTTTTAAAGTTTATTATTTTCTGTGTGTGTGTGTGTGAGAGAGAGAGAGAGAGAGAGAGAGAGAGAGAGAGAACAGAGAGAGAACATGAGCAGAGGAAGGGCAGAGAGAGAAGGAGAGAGAAAGAATCCCAAGCAGGCTCTGTACTGTCAGCCCAGGGCCCAATGCAGGGCTTGAATTCATGAACCATGAGATCATGACCTGAGCTAAAATTCAAGAGTTGGCCACTTAACTCAATGAGCCACCCAGGTACCCCCTGTTACCTAAGGTTTAACCTTAACATGAAATGTGAGGTGAAAATTAATAATTATAAATTTAGGGGGAGAAATTTAGAAACCATTGTCTCATGATAGCATTAACCTAGACAAAAATGATACAACAGAATAAGAAGACCTTGCATATATGATTGATGTAAAGGTGTATCACATAAACTCTCAAAATGTAAAATACTAACATCCTTTGTTAATTTTAAGTATCTTTGAAAAATGTCTAAAAGAAACATTAATTTTTATACTTGTTACATCAGTGTCACACAGATGGTACCTGTCCATTAATTAAGCATTAAATGAGATGCAAATAGTCCTGTTTTTGCCACAAACCCACTTTGCAGGATATGAAACTACATTTTGGTATTGTGGACGTGATCCTGTGGGCTTCTCCTGAGCTCAACTGAAAAAACTTAGAAAGCTTAGACTTCTAGATCTTCAGTTTCAGTCCAATCTATTGCCACATAGTTCTTGTACCTGTGTTATTAGGTAGGCAGGAAAACCTCACATTTTCCTTTGCCACACATCTTTACATAGGGTTACTCGGTCTCACCACCACTGATATTTTGAACCAGTTAAGTTCAGATTTAGTGAGATAAAATTGACACAACACTATGTAAGTTTAAGATATACATTGTAATGATTTGATATATGTATATATGGCAAAATGATAACCATATGAAGGATAGTTAATACATCTATCACCTTACAGAGTTGAAATTTTTTATGTGTGGTGAGAACTTGAAAAATCTTTCTCTTATAAAAAAATTTTTCCCTTATCAACTTTCAGTATACACTACAGTATTGTAAACTATAGTCACCATGCTATACATCACATCCCCAGAGTTAATTCATCTTATAATTGGAAGTTGTACTTCTTGACCACCTTCAATAATTTCCCCCACCCTCACCCCCCATCCTTGGCAACCACCAATCTGTTCTCTATCTCTGTGAGCTCACTTGAGATCATACAATATTTATCTTTCTCTGTCTGACTTATTTCAATTAGTATAATGCACTCAGGGTTCATTTACATTTCATATTACGCAATTTCATTTTTCATGGCTGAATAATATTCCTGTGTGTGTGTGTGTGTGTGTGTGTGTGTGTGTGTTTATCCATTTATCCGTTAGAGACATTCAGGTTGTTTCCATGTCTTGGCTATTGTAAATAATGCTGCCATGAACAAGGGGGTGTAGATTTCTTTTCAAGATAGTGATTGGGTTTCATTTGGATGTACACCCAGAAGTGTGTTTCCTGGATCATATGGTAGTTCTATTTTTAATTTTTTGAGAAAGCTCCATACTGTTTTCCATAATGTGTGTGATAATTTACATTCCTACTAAGGGTATACAGGGTTCCCTTCCTTCACACTCACCAGTCCTTGTTAACTCTTCTCTTTTTTTATTTTAGCCATTCTAACAGGTTTAAGGTGATGTCTCATTGTGGTTCTTATTTGCAGTTCTCCAATGGTTCATGGACTTGAGCACATTTTCATGTACCTGCTGGCCATTAGAATATCCTTTTTAAAAAAATTTTTACAGTGCATGAGCAGGGGAGGGGGCAGAGAGAGAGAAAGAGAGAGAATGAATGAATCCTAAGTGGCCTCCATGCTCAGCATGGAGCCCGTCATGGGCTCCCATGACCTGAGCTGAATCAAGAGCTGGATGCTCAGCTGACTGAGCTATCCCTAGAATATCCTTTTAGAAAAATGTCTATTCAGGTCCTTTGTCCATGATGATGGTGATGGTAATTTTGCTTTTGGCTTGTGTGAGTTACTTTTGGGTTTTAACCTTTTATCAGATATGTGATTTACAAATATTTTCTCCCACTTTTAGGTTGCTTTTTCATTTTTTGGATTGTTTCTTTTGCTGTGCACAAGGTTTTTAGTTTGATGAAGTTCCCTTGTTTATATTTGCTTTGTTGCTCATGCTTTGTGTATCATATCCATAAAATTATTGCCAAGACCAATGTCAATGAAATTTTCCCCTGTGTTTTTAATAAGAGTTTTATGGTTTCAGGTCTTGGTTAAGTCTGTATCATGTGGGGCTTTCTTGTCCATTGAAGGATGTTGAGCAGCATCCTTGGATAACTCAGTAGATGACAGTAGTTCCCTCTCTCTCAGTTGCAAAAACCCAAAGTGTCTCTAGACATTGCCAACTATTCTCTGGTGGGCCATACTGTGCCCAGTTGAGAATCATTGTTTTTTTTCCTTTGTTTAGATTCATGTAAGGTTTTTGTAAAAGGATGTGTGCAAAAATAATCTTATCCCCTATTGTTTGGGATTTGAACACCCTATTACACTTCTTCAACCTTGTCAGTCCCCAATTCTTTTACCTCTTGCACACTGGCCAGTCCTTGTCTGATGTCATCTCTCTCTCATAATAATTTGCCAAAAAGTGGTATGGAGCTGCAAATGTATAATGACATTCTAGCTTTTTTTTAGCTGCTTCTCTTGGAGCTGTAGGCATGATAAGCATATGATTAATCTTCCAAATTATCACAGGAGACACTGTTACCAAAAGTTTTGCTGCAGCAGAACAAGAGTCACCAGAGTATGTGTCCATTCTTCCTGCCATCACAGTGCTAAGTCAATAGGATATTTTAGGCTTTGTTAGGACAACATTCTACTTCTGAGTACTAGTCTCTGTTACAGGTTTGAATGTCAAGAAAAAAAAAAGATTTTGGAATGGAGAAACAGCTACTGGACAGATGCAAGAGTAAGAGTATGTTTGATCTATTTGAGGACTAAAATAAAGCCAGTGTGAATGGAACTTAGTGGAAAAGGGGTGGAACAATCTGCGATGAGGTCATAGAGCGATGCAGAGGCAAGGCTTGTAGGCTTTCTAGTCAGCGTAAGAAGTAAGGATTTGGTCCAAGTGCAATGGGAAGCCATTGGAGTGTGTTAGCAGAAAAAGAGAAAAAGTTGGGCATTCTGGGTACCATGGGAGAGACGGACTATAGGGAAATGAGCAGGAGCAGGGAGTCTGATAAGAAGTTCACATGAGATCTGAGATTGATTAGATATGAACTCTAGTCAAAGAGACAGAAGAAAATGCCTGGGTAAAGGAAATTTTCAAGATAAAGCTGGAAGGACTCCTTGATAAATTGAATATTGAGTGTAATAAAAACAATAAATCAAGGATAATTCCTGGACTTTGGCTTATGTAACTAGGGGAAGAGTGTTTTAATTTGTTCAGCTAAAAGGACTCAATGATAAAAACAAGAGTTCTATTTTTTTGTTTTGTTTCTTCAAATTAAGTTTGAGATGTCATTAGTGAACCATGTGGTTATATTAAGTGGCCAATCTACCATATGATTCAACATTTCCTGGAAGATACAAGGAATAGAAATTTTGACTTGAGACTTATCAGCTTTTGAGGTTATCGATAGCCATGGTCCTGAGTAATGGAGAGTGAAGAGAAGGGAGTTTAGCATAGGCTCTTGGGCTTACCAACATTTAGCATGTGAGAATCATAAGAGGGAAAGTAAAGGCAACTGGCATAGGGCAGAGAAAGGAGTAGAAAGACCCAGAGAGACTGGATGTCAAGGATGAGCAGTGCATCTTATTTCTACTGCTGATTCCTAGTCCTCTTGCTAGTAGCAGTTTTGGAGATATACTTGCAGGAGGTGCAAGCAGGTGGTTTATACAAGGGATTTATATTTTTTAAAGATACTCAAATCCAAACAGGAAGATATAATACTGTTTTGCAACCTGCTTTGTTAACAGTTTGTCTTAAAGATCTTTCCATATTAACACACACTTGACCTTTTCAATGACTACATAGTATTTGCAATTTGTCTTCAAAGCCTAAGCAACTCTCCAATTTTCAGGTGTCTTATAAAAGGATGCTCTATTTCTGTTTTTGTCTCTCTCTGTCTCTCTCTAATAGTATTATAAAGAATAAGAAGCCACCTCAACATGAAACATTTTAATTTGAATTAATGAGTACTTGGAGCATCATATTTGACCTTAACTTTGAGATTTAATAATTGTCAGAATGGAGAGTTATTGAATACCAACAATGTTCTCATTCTGTAGAAGAGAGAGATGTGGAAAAACAAGAGAAAATGTTCCCTTGTGTAGGTTTCATGCACTCTAAAGTAATAGAATTAAATGAATACCCCCTGACAATGCAGTGGAATGGAGAGTTATTAAAACCATCCAATCATAACCCCTGGCCACCAAAATCCTGGCTTTGATTAATAAAGCAGCTTACTTTGCTTTTATTGAGTTATTAGTAGAAAAATTCAAACTGCTATTGTCTGAAAAAATTAGTAACCATGAGTGTAAAATATTTCTTCTGTATCTTTCTGAACAATTATGTTTCTTACTGCAATGAGCCTTATAAAAAGACTAATCATTGGATGTTTACATTATCATCAAATTATTCAGAATCATTTGTTAGATTGCCTGTAATTGTAAAACATCTTTTTGTACCACGGGAGACTTTGTATAATAATAAGTATATAATTATTCACCATAAACAAACTCATAACTTAAAACAGTAATGACTTTTGAGATAAAAATTTCTTACATTTTTGTTCACTAAGTGATCATTGCATTTAAGCATCATTAATGAAGTGTTAGCAATTCACATTCACACAGTTGAGGTGTCATTTTTTTTCTTTAATAGGTTTGTAAAATATGCCAACTAATAAGCATGTTGTGAATGTTACAACTTCAACAGTCCTGAAGTGGCTGATTCCTGTGACAAGTAAGTGCTGTAACAGATGAGAATTTAAGCTACTCAAAAAAATTCACTGTTAGAGTGAAATAGGCTTAATTAATTTTTTTCAATCTGTTGGGACAAACATGCACCCACACCAAGATCTGAGAGCCTGGGAAGGGAAGGAGACTCAGGCCTGGGCAGCTATATCCAGTCTGTGTTCTCTTAACCTGAAATTATGTGCCAATCCTACACAAAGGTCACTCTATAACTTGGGGTCTATTTTTTCTTCCTGGGAGGGCTCTTTCTTATCTGATTCATAGGTTCTGTGGCCTCAGGCCTTTCCCTTATTCTCATTTTTCTCCCATCTGGTCAAGCTTGTGTGTGTTGTCAAGATCATTATCCTTAAAACATTGTTCCTTACACCCTCTTTGCCCTTCTTCTGCTGGCAGAAGAGTCTGATGTTTTCCACCGGGGCTGAATCTCTATTTTGTGATCATAGGGAGGAAGGATTCATCGTGGTGTGTTTTTGTTTTTCTCACAGATTGCCACACTCCCGGCCTGGTATTTCAAAGTAGGGTTAACAGTTTGTTTTGGTTTTGTTTTACCAGAATTTTGTCTCCTTTCTTCAGTGGTTTCTTTCTTCTATACTGTTTTTCAGACAGGTTCTACAGCATGTTGGTTCCTGGCTTTTTTTTTTTCCTTTCACTTTGTTCTGGATTGTTCTGGTTTAAGATAATATTTCTCAAAATGTAAGGTCTGAGTTTGGGACCCTTTCCTATTGGTAGTGCTGACTGTTTGTTATTTGCTACTTTTGTTGTCTATTCACTTTGGCTTGAGGCAGGGGTTTCTTAACTTCCGCACCAAACTGCCGCTTACTGGCATGTAAGCCCCCAAGGGCAGGATCTCATTTTATAATCCACTCTCTGCCTGGTTCCAGATTATTTTGGAATAAAGTATGACTCTTTCACAATAGTTTCAGGTTATAACAGGTATCATACATCTCTGGAAAATGTATTCATTTGAGTGGTGTGGACCTACTAGTTTTAAACATCAGTGTGTATGTGTGTGTGTGTGTGTGTGTGTGTGTGTGTTTCCATCATAGCCTTCAGCTGCTTGTCCAGGTGGACAGTCCGTCTTTCCAGTCCACGGTCTCTTCCGCCTCTCCCACTCCCCACACAAGGACCTCTGGACATCTGCAAATCTCGGTAAGCCCTGAGAATTGCAGAGGATGAGTTTCATTTTAGGCACTTGAACTGACACAAATGAATGCTACATGCTAAATATTAAATATTTATATACAGTTCCTCCTTAGAAGATATAGAAGAGGCTTTTCCTCAATCATCTAATAGTTTTTCTCAATAAGAACAGTTGCTTTGCATTGAATAAACAAGGAGGTACATGGCTTGCCTGCTCTATGCCTGGCCTTGAGTACCAAATACAGTCATGACTAGGATAATCCCTGCCTTCAGAGGGCCTGTGATGTAGTGAGAGAAGAAAGTAAATATAATTATATATATTTGCAACCTGGTTTCATGGATTGGATTAAAAACATTGATAGAGATACACCCTGCAGGATCCAGTCATTATTGATAATAGATACAAAACTTCAGAGAAGTCTACATTTTATTACCCTGCAGACTGGAGAAATAGATTGGTGATTGTTTTTTTTAAAGCAAAATGCTTTTGAAATTTTGCCTGAAATTCAAATGGAAATTTTGCCTGAAATTCAAATGAAAATTTTGCCTGAAATTCAAATGAAAATTTTGCATAAAATTTCTGGGCTTTAAAGAGAAAAAAAAATATTTGGCAACCTAAGTTATCTTTACTTTTTTCTTTTTTAATGTTTATTTATTTCTGAGAGAGAGAATAAGAAGGAGCAGGGAAAGAGCAGAGAGACAGAGAGAGAGACTCAGAATCCAAAGCAGGCTCCAGTCTCCAAGCTGTCAGCACAGAGCCCAACACAGGACTTGAACCCACAAACCTTGAGATCATGACCTAAACTGAATCTTGCCACTTAATTAACAGAGCTATCCAGGTACCCATAAGTTATCTTTACTTAAGAAGCTTTTCATGTTCTCTCAGTATAGTGCTTAAAGGTTCACACCCAACTATTCAAATGGAAAATTCCCATTGAATCCAACAGTTTCCTCTTCTGCTTTTACCTACTAGTTTATTTTTCCCTTGCTCTTTTAAACAAATGCTGCATGCAAATTGCTAAGTACACTTGGAAAGGTGTAGGCATAAATGGTACTGTCTGGAATTGTTAAAATGCATTCTACCTAAATAGCTGTACCATGGAAGAAAGTTAACTTTTTTTTTTTTTTTACTAAACCAGGAAAACTTGCTGTGTTTATTTTAACCTAATATGTTTTCATGATTGTACTTTCAATGTTTTGTCAAGATTTTTGTAAGAGAAAATAAAATTCTGAATTATTTTTTCCCCAGTAAGCATGAGTTCTAATTTATTAAGATCTATTTCTTATACATTCTTGAAAGAGCTAAGCAAATCCATGTATGTATCCTTTAACTTAATGGAATAAGAAATAGAATAGGAATGCCAAGATTTGAGCATCTTTAAGATTTTCTTCTCTACTTTTTTATTGATCCCTACTATTTTAAAGCAGAATTCTTTCATAGTTCCAAAGAAATGCCTAAAGCAATGCCATGTTCTTATTCTAGATGACAAAATAAGATGGATGGTTTCACAGTTTCTTTTACAAAACAGAACTCTCCCCATTAAGGCTCATTACAGCAATAAATTGTGACCAGTAACATTCTTAAGCTTGGGGAATTTGAAGCTAATTGAAGCTACATTGAAAGAAACAATATTTGAATAACACATACTTCAAAAAATAAAAAGTATAAATATTCCAAAAAATTTTTCCTCAAACTTACACATTTCAAATAGGAGATATAGGACTAAGTACTGTGTTCCTTTCTGCCCTACCTCAGACGTAAATTCTACAATCACTAACTGACCTTTTCAAACAAAGTGAAGAATCTGCCTCAGGCCTCACTGGGGGCAAGATCAATGACTAGTCAGGGCGCTAGAATGTGCAGCGGCCACAGAAGTAGAGACAGGCCTGGCTGAAATTCTGGCTCAGACTTTCTGTTCTTTATCTTGCAAAGCCTGCTCAAATTGACATGGGAAAGAGCTTGCATCAGTCCCGTGAATCCTGGCCAGAAACTCTAGGACTTTCATCTTGGTGGCTTCATTGTGGGCTCTTAGGCCTCAAAGGAATTCAAATTCTTAGGATCACTGTAGAACCACCTATTGTTGTTCCAGGTACTTTTCCTTCATGACATCTTCGGTGATGAGCTCCCTGGGCTCACCAAATACCAAGTGCTTCCTTCCAGAATACATCCACATCAAATTCAAAACTTCCTAGACTTTTCTTTGGTGGCATAGTTGCCCTTCACGAAACTCATACCCAGGATAAGTATCAGGATGCTGGGCTTGGGCATGCCCTGTTCACCATGTGGCACCACATCATATGTGAGGCCCAATTAGATGAGGAGGTCATAGCAGCCATTGATGGGATCCACTTTCTCTACATCAAGGCCAAAGATCACCTCCATATTCTCAGAGGCTCTCAAGAGAATTTCAGTGAAGTGGTCTTCATATTCTTTGATGACAATCTTCAGTGTATCTGCCTTTGTCATTGGTTCTTTCATTTGATACCTGAGCCGTATGAAATTGACTGATGAATCTACTCTCTTACCTATGGGTGCATTCTTGAAGGCTGGCTCAGACTGAGAGGTGCTATCTTAGTTCTTCTTCTTGGCTATTGGATCCTATGCCTGATTTCCTTGATGAGGTAGCTGTGGTAGCACTGGAAGATGAGTGGAAACTCTGAGGATTCTCAGGAGTCCTAGTTATACTAATATCAGGAGCTTCCTTCATATTTCAGAGCTTTAGAGGATGGGAAGAAAGACCAGTCTCCTCCAGAGCCATAGAGACCTGTGCATCCTACAGGCCCTGGTCTCACTTCATGTCTGAATGGGTAGATCATGTAAGCATTGTGGACTCTTCTGGGGTAGAGGTATGTCTCTTGTGGATGGCAATGAGCAAGAGTATGGACGGTAACATGGGCAATGAGGAATCAGTGCCAAATGTTGGTAATGGTTTAGAGAAATGATCCACCCGTACATTGCTGCTGTGATGTAAAATGGTACAGCAACTGCTTTTTTTATTTACACACAACACCTAGTGCTCATCCCAAGTCCCTCCTCAATGCCCATCACCCATTTCCCCTCTCCCCACACCCCCATCAACCCTCAGTTTGTTTTGTATTTAAAAGTCTCTTATGGTTTGCCTGCCTCCCTCTCTGTTTGTAACTATTTTTTCCCCTTCCCTTCCCCCATGGGCTTCTGTTAAGTTTCTCAAGATCCACATATGAGTGAAAACATAGGATATCTGTCTTTCTCTGACTGACTTATTTCACTCAGCATAATATCTTCCAGTTCCATCCACATTGCTGCAAATGGCATGTCCTTCTTTCTCATTGCCAAGTAGTATTCCATTGTATATATAAACCACATCTTCTTTATCCATCAGTTGATGGACATTTAGGCCCTTTCCATAATTTGGCTATTGTTGAAAGTGCTGCTATAAACATTGGGGCACATTTTCTGTACCCGTATTTTTAGATGTATGATCTGGAACATAAAGAAATTAGAAAATAGAAGCATGTCAAAACAGTGCTTTCTTATCACCTTCCTTCTTCCGGTATCACTAGAGAGATTTAAACCATGTTCTATTTGTATCTGTTAGCCTGTCAATGCTTTTTCTGAGGGATGAGGAGCAGTAATTCAAGGTCATCCATATGTTACCAACAAATATTCTGGAAGCGCTTAAATCCTGTGAGGAGAGAGGGCTGCATGGAATGCTATCTAATGGGGTCCAGAGAAATGGCTAAGAAAGAATTCTTAAAACATCTTTGGTCCAAAAAAAGATGACTTTATTAAAGCACTGGAACAGGACCTGTGTGCAGAAAGAGCTGCACTGGGGTTGTGAAGAGTGTCTGGTTATATACTGTGGAGGG